GGGTGAGTTTGTCGGGAAAGGTTGAGAGAATTGTATGGTCTGGGAATTGTGATTGTGATGCGACGAATGCCCGCCAGTCGTGTTCCCGCCGTTTCCACCACCATTTGGAGCCATCGACTGGATGGTTGTGAGCGTGGTTGTTAGGGACTGGACTGAGGGAGCTGGCGAAGAAAAGGTGCTGTCTCCTCCTCTGCGTGTATCGAAACCACCAGCGGTTCGACTTGTCCCTGCTACCGAGGATGCCATATGCGACGGGGCATGGATAGAGTGGGCTGCATCATGATCCGTAGAGAGTGTGGGCGCTCTCGAATGGGCGCCAGTTGTGCGAGAGGCAGATCCGTTAGCGGATAAAGGGATTGAATCTCGGCTTCGGTTGAGCGACTGGTTCGAACTTCTCCCAGCTCTCGAGGTCGAAAGCGACCTGTTGCTCTGTGGGCTTCGCGGGGCGATGGCGATACGGCCGGACTGCGGGTAGGGGTTGTTATTCTTTGATGGCCGCTTCTTAGAGCCTTTGAAGGTGGCTTCGCGCTTAGAGTGGCCGTTTCGACCGCCAGCGGCAGACGATGACCCGTTCTTGAAATTGGCGAGCTTCTTGACCCAGGTGGTAAAAGGCCGCCGGCGACCTACACGTTCGGGATGGTCTAGGCCAAGTTGGGTCAGATTTTTCCCCTTGTGAAGCATTGCGAGGGCATACGAAATAACAATGGTGTGAGGGAACGATGTCAGGTGGGAGTCGAATAGCTGGGCTCTGGGCTCTGGGGGAGGGACTCTATTTACCGGTTGGAGGGGGAGAAGTCTCGGGCATGGCCATTGGCGTAGATAGTCGAGTATAATTATCGAGTGGGGCAGGGCAATGCCAATGTGCGGCGGAGCTTGGGCGCAGATTGTAATGTAGTTGCACCTACTTAGTCGACGGTGCTTGGTGGTGAAAGTCCGTGCTGGTGCTGTTGTGTGTGTGGGTGGACGGATCGCTGGATCACCGCGCAACACCTCGAGGGCAGCGATCGGAGAGTGGAGATGCCTATGCAGTGGCCCGACTGACTGATAAAATCCGAGAGTGAAGATCAGTGTATCGAGAGAGACGTCAGTGCCAGCCGCAATAGGTAGGAGGAGGGCTAGAAAGATAGACTGTTGATCATTATACTATTTAAGTTTGGCTGTAGTTAGAGGAGAGGGAGGAATATTGACCGAAGTTCATAGTGTTCTCCAAAAAAGCCCAAACTTACCAGGGTATGCTGTACCGCAGGAGAGCCCAACAAGCAGTACTGTACTTAGATGCCCAGTGCATGCATGTTTTGGGTAGGTACCCTACAGCCCCGGGTGCACCCGAAGAGCCCCTAAAAAGCGCCAAGAGCGCAGTTGTCCGGTACCTCCTTTGACCCCTTGTTAATTGCGTCATCAGCCACATTGCTGAGTGGTTCAGGACCCAAGTCACCCCTAATATTTCACTTTACCTGTGTGGCTAGTGACGACTCTTCCACCGACCTCACAAGTACGCATAGATGTGTCTAGAACCATACAAGAGTGAATCTATATACCCATATCGACTCAACCTCGCCTACCTAGACACTTTAAAGTGGGATCAAATCGCGGAAGTGCGCATCATATATGCCGATTTGGTATTGAGGTTTTGATCTACACGTCCCGTCAAAGTGCATGAGGAATTCGCCCGTAGAGGACCGAAACACATTCACAGTCAGTAGCTTCGGCAAAGGCAACAGTTATGTGGCGCATGTTATCGTTTCCGTCTGATAGGTAGCGATGTCTATACGGCCGTTGCCGGACAATGTCGTTGCTCAGATCAAATCTTCCACTACCATCACGTCTCTCAATGGTGTCGTCTGTGGCTTGTTCAGAAACTCGCTCGATTCTGAAGCTACCCGAGTAACTATATCCGTAGACTACATGCGAGGGAACTGCTCTGTCGAAGATGATGGACCAGGTATCCTGCCCGCCGAGTTTAAGCCCAGTGGTGGCTTAGGCAAGCTACACTGTAAGCCCGGATAGTCCTGTTACCTTGGAACTTCTCGTTCGGCTGACGAAGTTTACAAAGTCACCTCTAAATACCCTGTACACGAGGATACCCACGGAAAGTATGGCACATTCTTGGCATCACTGGCTTCCTTGTCGCTGCTCTCCATTACGTCTCATCACCAGAAGTATCACACTCATAACTCGATCCGGATTCACAATTCTGACGTCCTAGCTCGGCATATCCCTTCACCTCCTGATCAAAGGCTATTAAGTTTCCCTCACGGGACAAGGGTAACGGTAAGAGACCTCTTCGGATCGATGCCAGTTAGGGTGAAACAAAGGGCAATCGACATAGAAAGAGGTGTACATTCCAAACACTGGGAAGCTCTGAAACGAAATATTGCCGCCTTGGTGCTCTCGTGGAATCGCCACGTTTCAGTTTCAGTTCGAGAATCCGCAAATCAGTGGGTGTTTTCAATTCGTACCAGCCAGACGTATCGAGATGATGAGGAGCCTGAGCTAGACCTCGCGACAAGGGTATCTAAGGTCCTATACCAGACTCAACTCTCCGATGATAATAGGCTAGAGAGTTGGGTTCCGCTGAAGGCATCGGCTGGCGGGCTTTCAGTTAGCGGCGCGGTATCGTTGCGTCCCGTCGCGACAAAACGAATCCAATTTATCAGCATAGGGATTCACCCAGTACCCAATGAACATGGTTCGAACGTCCTATATGAGGAAATCAATCGAATCTTTTCGAATTCGAGTTACGGCGTCGAAGAAGACGCAGGTAATTTTGCAAGCGATGAACATGATAAGAGGGCAAAAGACGGCTTTACTAGCCAGGAGCTCAAGGGCCGGAAGGGTGTAGATCGATGGCCAATGTTCTACATCAGAATCCACGGTAGCAAATGCGCAAGTTCTATTGCATCTAAGGAAATGGATGAGCTTCTCGATGAGCGGCAGGGGGACTTGGTCTCCATGATAGATATATTGAAAGCAGTGGCCTACGAGTTTTTGAAGAAATATCATTTCCGCCCAAACCGAATCAGGATTACGAAAGAATATGCTACTAGCGGGGGCTCAAGGCCGAGTTCACCCAAAACGGGCCTACCTAACAAGCATGGTTTAAAATCATCGCCGACACTTGCAACGCGAGATAAACAATTTTCTGGAGATCTTACTACGACGCAATTAACTATTCGTCGTGACCGTAGCTCACGTTCGCGAACGGAATCCCCGTTCGACTTTTGGTCTCGGATCAAATCTGGCTCGTCCCAGGGTTTGTTAAGTGACGGAAAAATTGATACGAAGTTCACGGTTGACGGATACCTAGCTTCTGGTTCTTCTGGCTCAACAACTCCAGATTTCAATACGAATAACTCTAGCCCTACTCCTCCCCTGTTTGGCCCGGACGGAAGCTTGCTTCGGGCGCCTTTCGCCGCAGAAAGCCCCATAATTCCTGACGTTGATCGAGGGCACCAATCTATGGAGGCAGAAAAGAGGCCCATGAATGAAGATATCAGGTGGACAAACCCAGTTACGAAAGAGGTCTCAGTCATTGACCCAAGAACTGGCTTCGTTGTTCAATCACCGAACTGTTGCTCTAAAGACGAACGCGGAACGGCGGGCTTCGAACGTCGTAAACGACTTCGGTCGCACCAAAAGCCAGCTGTGGATGCGAATCGGAGCGTGTGGCTAAGAGAACTACTATCGTCCTGGGAAAATCCCGTTTTCGAGACTACAGAGCCGCGCATTCCCAGTGCTTTCAGCGAAGAGAATAGTTCAAGCCGGCCAATGCAGCCTTTCGGATGTAGTACTTGGTTTCAAGACTCCCCGGAAGTAGGGCCATCCATCCAAGGTCGATTGTCTAAGACGGCACTGCGTAATGCCGACATCGTGGCACAAGTTGATCGAAAATTCATTTTTGCTAAGGTTCAAGTCGATTCATACCAAACTGCGTCCCTTTTAATTATTATCGATCAACATGCCGCAGACGAAAGATGCCGGGTTGAATCACTGATGGAGGGCTACTTTGAGCGATGCAATGATGCGATTACCAATAATATCACGAGCTCACAAGCTGCACCGGCATCGACAACTCCAATAGCTTGCACAGAACTGCTGGAACGGCCATTAAGATTTGATGTCTCTTTAAGAGATGCAACACAACTTGAACGTACAGTCACGCACTTTGCTCACTGGGGTATTCATTACCATGTTGTGCCGACATCTCCGACTGGAAATGCTAGCCATAGAAAAGTTGAGGTGATGAGATTGCCACCAAGTATAGCCGAGCGATGTCGACTCGAGCCACGCCTCCTAGTCGAGCTTCTCAGGAAAGAGACTTGGAAAGTTGACGCGCACAACTACAATAGCGCCCGGGTGAAAGATACTAGCACTCAAGATGGCGAGGCTACTGCATCTCACTGGATTACTAGATTTCACGGATGTCCCGAGGGCATCTTGGACATGGTCAACTCCAGGGCGTGTCGTAGCTCAATTATGTTCAATGACCCCCTGTCTCGAGAGGAGTGCGCGGATCTATTGAGACGACTGGCAGATTGCGCTTTTCCGTTTCAATGCGCACATGGCCGACCATCAATGGTACCCCTGGTAGATTTAGGTGATGATATGACTGGCACCTCTTACGAAAGAAAGCCGTCCGATTCATTTTGGAAAGCATTGAAAGCGTGGAATGCCGACGGACGGAAAACGGATGATGGCATATGAGATTTATTGACGATACCTATGTGTATATTTCATACTATATATAATGATACCAGATGATAAGTATCCTAATTTATATTTGACAGCTATAATCTCTAACCGTCTTCAATGAACTCGGCTTCGTCGTCAATTCCACCAATCCAAATTATCTTAAAATGGGCCAACACACAATAAACAATAGGCAACTAACTGAGTGTTTATTCCCTGCGCGTAATCAGGAGCAAACAGACCAAGCCCCACCATACCTACCCAGAGAAGGTTATATATTCAAACAACAAGCCACTCTTCCAAGAACAACAGCCCGTTTAGTGTAATGGAAAACATGCCCTGCGAGTGTTGAACCGGCAACATACCACCGTACTATGCGTGGGAGGATAAGCCCGATGGAATCTTCAGGGAGCTCTTGGTTCGATTCCAAGGACGGGTATTTTTTTTCTTACTTCTTTTTCATATTCCGCCCAATTATTTTGTAAGAACATAGCATAGTTATTTATTTATACAACAAATACCCCTTCCATAGCGATACTTCCCTCTCCATAGCTAGTTACTACATTCCTTCCTACCTAAGAAAATGGACGTTAGAATTTCCGGACAACAAAAGGCTAAGCCACAGGCTCCGATGCACCGCCACACCGAGTGTTCCAGCGTCTATCTAGCGCCCCTGCCATTAAGACCTTAGCGCGATACAGTGACGTTGGTTATCCCAGAGCTCCTGATTAAAGCTCCCGATGCAGGCAGACACGTGAAGAAGCAGCGCAGAACAGAGCCCCAACCCGACGATGCCCACATAGCTGTTGCGCATACTCAAGCTCGCACTATGGCTTTGCTTTTGGTATGCTCGATCTAGAAATTCCCGCGAAAAGCTGGATTCGATCTGTAGCTAACTTATCTTTGTCTTAGTGGAAAGCATTCGACTTCTTCGAAGTCAGCCAGGTCAGGCTCGGCGACGACGAGACGCGATCGTTCTTCGAGAATAGCGAGATATCTAGCGTATGCTCCGGATCTGAGAGCTTGTTCCTCGGCAGCGATAATGGCTACGTGCGCATCATCGGCCCTAGTTGGAAGGTCGTCCGGAGTTTCCAAGCTCACGAAACGGGGCGCATCACCCACATGCGCCAGGTCGAGGGCACGAGCTTGCTGGTCACCGTTTCAGTATGCTTATGTTACCCTGTCTGAAGAATTTTCTGGCGCACTGCTGACTATGAGTAGGAAGATCTAAGCAACGAGCCAGTGCTGAAGGTCTGGGCGCTTGATAAGCCCGTCAAGAAGACGGGATTACCGACCTGCTTGAGCACCATCAACATCAACAACGGGCGCAAACAGTTCCCGGTCAGTGTGCATCTGTCTCCCTCAAGCCCACATGTACTTATTGCTGTGCGTATAGATATCCGCCTTCACCGCCCTCGACGACCTCTCTCAGCTCGCAGTGGGCTTCGCAAACGGTGCGGTCACGGTAATACGAGGCGACCTAATCCACGACCGAGGCACTAAACAGAGAATTGTATACGAATCTGAAGAGCCGATCACTGGGGTAGAATTTGTGTCAGACCCCAAATTGTCTACACTGTTCGTCGCAACGACCTCTAAGCTCTTGAAGCTCGTTATATCTGGGAGGGGGCATGGGCAACCACCACGAACGGTCGAAGACTCTGGATGTGCTGCGGGATGTATGACAGTGAACAAGAAAACTGGAGATATCATTGTTGTTCGGGAAGATGCTGTCTATTACTATACCATCGACGGCAGAGGGCTCTGCTTTGCTAATGATGGAGCCACCACGCTCGTGTCGACCTTTGAGGAGTACGTTGGCCTTGTTGCACCGCCGGTTTCTTCTAAAAACGGCACATCGGACAACATACGGAGGCGATTTGGTGGCGCGAGCACAGAATCATTATTCAGTGCAGCTACCTTCACCATGATAGATCCACAGTTGCAAATAGTCGCCCACTCGGAGACGCTCATTTCACCAGTCAAGGCGCTTTTTCAGATCTGGGGGGATCTCTTCATCTTAACCCAAGATGGCAAAGTAAGAAGCCATCCATAATACTTAGAACGACACTTTTACTAATGCCAGGTAGATCAACAGGTACCACGAAAAGTCGCTACACCAAAGGCTTGAGCTACTATACCAGCGAAATCTCTTCCCTCTTGCGATCAACCTTGCTCAGAAATCTGGCATGGATTCGCAACAACAAAACATTATTTACAGGAAGTACGGTGACCATTTATATCAAAAGGGAGATTTTGACAGTGCGATGGCCCAATATATTAAAGCAATCGATAATACGGAGCCTTCCCAGGTTATTCGCAAGGTAAGGCCTCCTTCATAATAGCTAGTGTTATGATGCTGACGACCCCTGAGTTTCTTGATACGCAAAGAATACATAATCTCATTGAATATCTCGAAGAGCTGCATGAACACCATAAGGCAACAGCAGACCATACCACTCTACTGCTCAATTGCTACGCAAAACTCAAGGATGTCGAGAAGCTCGAGAAGTTCATTAAGTCTGAAGGGGATTTAAAATTCGATTTGGACACAGCAATCAACATGTGCAGACAAGGAGGTTACTTTGAGCAAGCAGCCTATCTTGCGACAAAGCATGGCGAGAGTGACCTAGTCGTGGACATTTTGATTGAAGATTCGAAGCGTTATTCCGAGGCACTGGATTTTATCTGGCACCTCGATGCCGAAACGGTTAGTGAGCGCAATCCTTTAACTCGTATCTTAACTAATCATGCGTAGGCCTACACTTGCTTGATGAAGTATGCTAGAGTACTATTAGAGCATTGTCCCAACAGTACAGCTGAATTCTTCATTGATTATTATACGGGTAAATATAAACCCAAGGTACATGTTACACCTATTGAAGAAGTCCCGATACTATCTGGGAACCGTTTAGCAGCGGGCGCTGCCAACGCTGTCCAAAATCTTACAAGTTTGCTGCCGCTGCCATATATGGGTACTTCTACAGCTCCTTCGCCGAACATACAAGGGGACAACCAGCTTACAGTGGGACAAGAGGTTGCAAACCCTGAGCAGGATGATGACTCCGTTCCAAAATATACCCCACCGCCACCCCGTTCCGCATTCTCATCTTTTATTGATCATCCTGACGAGTTTATTGTTTTCCTCGAAGCATGCCTTAAATCCAATTCCCTCGGGGAAAGGGATAAGGCCGATATTTATACAACATTGTTCGAGATGTACCTCCACAAAGCAAAAGAAGGTAAAGGTGTACAGAAGGAAGAATGGGAGCTCAAGGCGAAGAAGCTCATAGAAGGACATGATATACCCATCGAAAATTCAAACGTCCTCCTCTTGTCCCACCTCTCCGATTTCCGCGATGGCACAACACTAGTGAAGGAGCAGTCAGGTCTTCTATTCGACATCTTCCGGTCCTACACTTCAGCGAAGGACACACGCGGAGCTATCAGAGCCCTACAGAAATATGGGCCTCGTGAACCCCAACTCTATCCCGCGGCCCTTGCATATTTCACGTCGGATCCGCGCATCCTCGACGAAGCGGGTCCCGAAGAGCTTGCGAACGTACTCAAGAAAATCGACGCAGATGGCCTCATGGCCCCGCTGCAAGTTATTCAGACGCTAGGTTCCAACGCCGTCGCGACTATGGGCATGATCAAGCCGTATTTACACGAGACTATCACGCGCGAACGCCGAGAAATTGCCGCCAATAAGCGGCAGATCGCTTCGTTCCGGAAAGAGACTGAGCAGAAGCGTGTCGAGATCGCGGAGCTCGGTAGTAAACCCGCCGTCTTCCAAGCCCAGAGGTGTCCAGGATGCGGCGCCCCTCTAGATCTACCGGTTGTGCACTTCTTATGTAAGCATAGCTTTCACCAACGATGTCTTAAAGTGGATAGCTCCGCTATAGACGGGGATGGTAATGATAAAACGGAGTGCCCTGTCTGCGCCGCGAACAATGCCGCGGTAAAGGCTATGAAGCGCGGCCAGGAAGAGCGGGCTGAGCGGCATGATCTCTTCCGCGATGCGCTTAGTAAAGGGGACGAGCGCTTCAAGACCGTCGCGCAATGGTTTGGTCAAGGCGTGATGGGAGCTGGTGGACTAGAATAGGTGATATAGCGTCAAACAATATGACAACCATGATATAGTATGGTAATGGGGGTATCTATCTATGTCTATATATATCTACTCCCTTTGGCACTGTCCAATATGTTGGCCAGTTGTCTCTGGCTGCTGTGAAATGCCTGCGCTTGCAGGTTCTATTACATGCGTAATTGACCTGGACCGACTCGTTTGACAAGTATACCGGCCCTGATGCTGTATAGTACACATATTTGGAAATATAATCTCGTAGTTCACTTCTGTTGGATAGATCTGACGTCTTTCCTCATCTCTAGCCACCGGCGCCAAAAAGCCGGTTCAGCCACCGTCCTACGCTTTCGTTCTCGCTCCCAACGCGGGTGCGCCAGTCGTCAATGTGGTGTAAATGTAAGCCTTTAAGTGAAACCGCAAGGTTGTGGCTGGAATTCATGCTAGGAGCAGTGACCTCGGTGATCTGCCCATGCCGCACCGTCATCTGCAGACCGGGCGCCTTGACGTCTGCTAGACTCGTCGGATCTAGTTCCGGGCTGGTGGGGAAGAACGAAGCCGGCAGGTCAGTTGGCAGATCGGGACGCGGCCGCGGGTCGTCTGCCGTCGGGTGCGAGGAGAATGTGAACTGCGGCGTCTGCGCGTAGATCCAGTCGCGGGAGCGCAGCTCGGCGACGCCAGCCCGGATCTCGGGGATGGTCTCCACGGTGGGGGCGTCTAGAGTCTCTACGTCGACTTGCTGTTCGTACATGGCTAGGAATTCGGCGACGACGGAATCCTCGAATTCCGCGTTCGAGACCCCGACGTTGCGGACTGGCGACCGCACGCTCTCGACGCCGCGGGCCTTGATGTATGGCGCGGCGGGGGAGCGGAGAAGCTGGCTGAGGAAGGGCAGGTGTGGCGAGGAGAGAAGACAAGTCCCGTGGTGCAGGGAGCGCGTGCGCGTTAACTTGTACGCTGAGCCGGAGATCTTGAATGTCCTAACGTCAGCGCCGTTTTCCATCCCACTCCCGCGGTTTGTGTCCCGCGGTCCGTTAGATGTAGGATTTGCAGAGACGTCGAGCACGATGTCGTGACGCTCGTTGACGCGCACGCCGTGCGGAATCTTCTCCAGCCCCTGTAAGGCCCGCACCACCATCTCGGCGTGCTTGTTGCGGTCGAAGGAGGCCGGCGGACAGATTACGCTGTAGTTCACGTTGCCCGCGTCGTGGAACACCGTCCCGCCGCCGGAGCGCCGCCGCACGAGGAGAACGTCATCGGGGTCGCTGGCTTCCTCTATTACTCCTCTCTCTGGCGTTGTGTTCCTCTCAACTCTGCTCTCGTCGCTATTCCTATTCTCATTCCTTATCACTGAG